CCAACCAACCAACCAACCAACCGACCAACCGACCAACCGACCAACCGACCAACCGACCAACCAACCAACCAACCAACCAACCAACCAACCAACCAACCAACCAACCAACCAACCAACCAACCAACCAACCAACCAACCATAGTCTTACCATCAAATTAATCCGCGATCATGCAATCAACCAACCAGCTAACCAATCAGCAAATCCGCGCAATTATCAGTTCAAGCATCAAATCAACTATGCAACAAACCAGGTACCAGGTAACTGAGCACTCACAACCACCTAGACAATCACCCTTTTAGGTCAAAGAAAAAATTAACATCGCAACGTAAAAAARTCAAACAGACAGATAAAAAATAACAAAAGCTGATACTTATTCATCTTCAYTGCGTCTTAAATTCACAGATTATTCTAAACTCGATGCATAATTACCAGCCTCGATTTCATGTCATCCTTGAAGACCCTGAGAAGAGCAGTGCAGCATCGGTAAATGAAGTCTCCAAGGATCGAATACGGACGTTTATTTTCCAAGAAACACAATTTATGGCCGTCACAGCATATCAAAATCACATGGTATGAAACTAATAGAAATAATTTTCATTAAAGTTTGACTGGCATGGATTGAAGCTAGAAGTTTAGGTTTTTGACCAAAAGCCGGCAACGTCAAATTTCATTTTATATTTGATCGAGATATAATGCACAATTAATATCTGCACAATGATATCGGTATGATTTGTCGGACTTATATTTGTTTTGAAATACTACGCGAAAGAAKGATCTACATCTACATACATCTACATCTGCAAGTTTAATCCATAAAGGTTGCCCGTTACATGGATGTGAATGGTCAGGGTATGCATCTACTAGCAGAAGCACTGACACAGGAGGAGCTGGATATTAAAGAGATATTAAAGAGAAAGCTCGAAAAATCTCAACACATATGGTACTGCAACTAATGGTCGAAGGTGACCAACCGCCTCGCGGTCTACATTTGTCAGTACGCTAAGAGCGAGCACGTCGTGAAATTAACCAGACAGAAAGGACTCCTAATTTTTGTATAGGAAATCGCACGACCTTGATTACAATTTGAAATTAACGCTGTAATTGTACTCCTCTCGACCAATAAAAAATTGTTATTTAGTTGAATGTACTATAAGATAACATACATCATGTTCGTAAAGTAAAATCGAGTTATAATCAATTATTGTTTTAGATTACCCAGCTAAAAATAGCAAGTAACCCATTTGCCAAAGGATTCCGAGACTGTGATCCTGAAGACTGGTAAGTAGCCATACAAATCATTTTTTCTCAGCACAGYCAAACCCCTCATCTTATTTCGGAATATACAACWGGTACACTGTTGGTGTTTACWAGTCAAAAAGTAYTTTTTAGCGYCAAGYAAACCCAGGCGCACATGGAAATTAGGCTAATGTGTTTTTCCTGCGCGAGATACAAGAWAGACGCACATGAAAAAAGACCGCTTTTGTTAATCAATTCCATTGCTTGTTTATGTATAGTGTGATCGAAGTTATGAAGCAATTAGACCAGAGCAACTCAGGGACAAGTTATGTGCGACCGCGAAGAGAATCGGTTGACCCTCGAACAGACCTCCCCCCTGTAATGACATCCACACCCCACCCTGTCTCTCCTTCGATGGCGCAGTACTCGATGGCCCTTCAGGAAACCTATCAAGGTAAATAAAAATGTCAATTAACTTCATCTTAACCTGATTCATATTTCTGTCCAATGGTATAGACTATTTTCACTTAGCTGTAAATRCAATATACACTATAACATGCGTATCATGACGTTTTTGATAAAGTTCTTATAAAAACTACGAAGTTTCGAAGTAACGAAAAAGTATAAAAGTATAGTTTGAAACAGTACTGATAAAAGTAATTATTCCCACACCGGGAATCGAACCCGGGCCACGGCGGTGAGAGCGCCGGATCCTAACCACTAGACCATGTGGGATTGGACGATTTTATTTAATGTGGGTCTACATGATTTCGTTTAACTGATCAGGAAGTAAATTCAAGACATGAGCGTAACGATACAATACATACAATGTACAGTCTTTCTTAAACACAGCACCTAGCATGCATTTCTGAAAAACATAACCGAGCCATGCATGGATATCAGTGAAAACGACGATGAAAATGAAAAAAAAGTTTATTATACTAATTGTACATAATATGTTGTATCATKTTGTGTYATCGATCTGCASMAGCTTTGCTTCTAAAGGTGCAAAAGAAATATGCACTTTGTAAAAGTACGAAATTTCCCACACCGGGAATCGAACCCGGGCCACGGYGGTGAGAGCGCCGGATCCTAASCACTAGACCATGTGGGATTRCRTGATTTCGTTTAACTAAGATAATGCATGAAATTCAATACATTTGCGCGTACCGATACAATACATACGGTGTGCAGTTTTTCATAAACACAAAGCACCTAGCATGCATTTCTGA